ATTATGCATACAATATTCTGTCTGTGTGTATGCCTGAAGGCCAGAAGAGGGCACCAGACCTCATTACAGATGGTTATGAGCCACCATGTGGTTGCTGGGAACTGAACTCAGGACCTTTGGAAGAGCAGGCAATGCTCTTAACCTCTGAGCCATCTCTCTAGCCCCAATAAATAAATCTTTAAGAATGGAACTGTGGTCTGGAGCTATGGTTCAGTCAGTTAAGTGCTTACTGTGCATGCATGGGGACCTGAGCTTGCTCCCTCAGAACCCACATACAAAGCCACTGGCAACGATCATTCCTGTAATCCCAGGATTGCAGGAAATCCCCAGGTTTGCTGGTCAGCCTGTTTAACTGAATTACAAAACTCCAGGTTCAGTAAGAGACCCTACCCGAAAAAATAAGACAGAGCGGACTCTTGATTAAAAGCACTAGATGTTCTTCCCAGACTCAATTCCCAGAACCAACATGGAAATTTGCAAATATCTGTAACTACAGTTCCAGGGGATCTGTGATGCCATCTTCTAGTCTCTGTGTGCACCACTGCACACACGAGATGCAATATATATGTATATAGAGAGAGACAAAACACCCCCACACATAAAATAAAAATAAATAAGTCTTTTTATAGAGTGAGGAAGAGACCTGATAATAACTCTGACCTTCACACACACAGGAGGATCATGAGTTTGTGGCTAGCTTAAGCTATTAGCAAACTCCAGGACAGCCTAAGCTACATAGTGAAACAAAATATAAAACCAAATAAAAACCAAGGAGTTGAGCAGTAGTATACAAATCCCAGGAGCTTCACCGTCAGGCAGACGTGGAGTGAATCTCAGAGGACCCACAGTGTGGTCCTAGACAAATAAACTTCTCTCCCTGAGCCTCAGCTTTCTCATCCATAATATGGGGACACTGGACCTCCTGGAGTGATTGGGAAGATTTGGAGACAACAGGTATAAATAGTCCCAGGGGAAGGCGTGGCGTCTGGTAGGCGCTCTGAAAATGGGGGTCTTCTCTGTGAGCTCTGAGGGCAGTTTCCATGTAAGCATCACCGGGGCTCATCCGAGAGTTCTACAAGTGTTGGCAGCATGCCCGACTGGCAGAATGTGTAGACCTTGAGCCCCTGAGGACTGGACCCTGGCAGGCCCATGCAGGAATTCATATATACCACCCCGTTTCCACTCTCTATCAAAAGGTCAGGTGGTTGGGAGGAGGGAAAGGAGCATCCCTTGAGCACCAATGAGCACCATCTCCCAGGAAACCCAGCCAGGAGCTACCATGGAAACCGCTGCTGTCACATGCGCTCGTCACATGCGCTCGTCACTCTAGGCTCCAGAGAAAAATTCTCAGGATCTATTTAAGAACTAATAAAATAATGATGGTCTTGCTCACTCTCACTGACCCCCCAGCTAAGGTTTCTGCCCCTCTCCTTTCTACCAGACTCTCCTCGCTCCCCCAAACCTGCTTTCTGCCCCCATCCCCTCCTTTCCTTCCCATTCCCACCAGTAATTCTCTCTCTTTGCCCTTTTCTAGGTCTGTCTCTTACTTTCTCCCATGATTTCTTTCTTGCTATGTTTCTTCATCACTCCCCATGTCTCTGCTCTCCATAGCTCTGTCTCTTGGTTTCTCCTCCACACTCACAGGTGGCCATGCCTAGGGACTGGTCCTGTCCTCCTGGTCCCTGGTCCAGGCCAGTCCAGACCTGTCCAGCTCGCCCTGATCTGCTTGGATTGATCTGTCATCCCCTCTAGACTACAACCTGAGTCCTGTCGGTGTCTCGGCCCCCACCCACAGCCTGGTACACTGCAGGTGCTCCACTACCAGAGGGTGGGTGTGTCAGAGCCTTGGGTGGGAGGGAGGATTACAATGGTTAAGGCTTGGCCTGTTTTCCTCTCCTTTTTTTAAAAACGAGTCTTCCTCACCCCTCCCACCCCAAAATTTGATCCAAAGAAATTGCTCAGCTGTGACTGCCAGGGTGTTACCATGGTTACTGGGTAGCACTTGTGGCTATGGTAACAGGAAGCTGCCTGTTGTCTCGGCAACGAGCACATTGGAAGGGATGGAGTGGCCCCTGATTGGTGCAGAAGCAGTACGTTTCCTGAGGGGAGGGGGTCAGATCATCACCTTCTCAGGCCAGATGGGCATCAGTTACCCCTTCCTCCAGGAACAGGAAGGCCGCTGTTCCTTCCTCCCGGCACTCAGCTGTCTGCCCCCAACATCAATCCCTTACATCCCACGCACCCAGCTCTTGGCAGTTTACCAAGACCTTCTGCACCCCCATTACCTCATGTGATCCCCACAACACCTATGAGAGGAAGGTGAGATGGGGATTCAATCATGAATTCACTTAGGGTGGTTGGGGGATGGGAAGGTGGGGGTATCTATTGAATCACCTAGGAGCTCTCTCAGGTTCTACAGTCCCCCATCTTAAGAATCTAATATGGTTCCCAGGTGATTTTTAACCATGTCTGATCAGGGAACCCTTGGATTAAAAGGTGAAGCTGGATGGAGGAGGGAACGGGTTGGAGGGAAAAGTTAAGCTGCTTTCTAGGTTTACAACCTGAGTGATGGAGGATGGAGTTTGGGTGGAAAGATGAGCTCGGGTTCTGGTGTGTTGAGTGGGAAGTGCCAGTGGGCCTTTCTCGCCAGGATGCCCAGCGAGGAGCTGGAAACATGGGTCTGAGGCTCAGGAGAGAATGTGGGCTGCAGACGCAGAGGTCTGAGTCATCCCTCTGTGGATAGCTATTGGGGCTGTGTGTGGGTGAAGCGATCCAAGAAGAACTGGAAGAGAGAAGAGCAGGAAGAAAATGGTGCCTAGAGAAGCCTAGCGCTGTCAGGGAAAGGGGTGCCCGGGGGGACGGAGGGGTGAGTGCAGAGACTATCATGACACAGACAGTTGGGAACGTTTCCTTGATTTGAGACAGTGGCTTACTTAAAATCATACAACCCAGAAATGGCAGTGTTAGGGGTATATAGCACTACGTCTGAGCCCCAGACTGTTTAATCTAAATAACACACAGCTATATTCTCAGCTGTAGACATAAACCACAAATGTGCTATAGCAATTACACCCTCCCACCCAATTCCTCTCACTCAAAGCATTTATGCAAGTCCAGGAGCCTGAGACGCAGGCACCACATGGACCCTGAGTCCAAGACAGAAGAATTTCTTTGGTCACTACTTCCACCCTGTTTGCCACTGAGCTTCCTGCCATCCACTCCTTCAGGTTCCAGCACTTTCTAAACATCTGGGTTTTAGGAAGCAATCTTGGAGAGAATCTATAATCCCGGGGGGCAGGGGTGCAGAGTGCAAAGGGAGCTGGTACTCAGAGTCTGGGGAGCTCAGTGGGAAGAAACAACCAATCCTTGGGACCAGGCAGTCATGCTAAATGGGTGTGTTGGTCCCGTGTCTTTCAGATGAGTCGTCCGATCCAAGTGAAGCCGGCTGCCAGTGAGGGCCGAGGAGGTAACTTCCCTGTCTGACAAACCTCAGAGTGGTACCTGAGTAGAGGATGGGTGGGCCCACTCCTGGAGTAGGTCCTCTGTCAGGGCTTATGACTAGACCCAGCCCAGGTCAGTGCAGTCTGAAATTGTGAGTCTCAAGAAATAGCTCAGCCATCCCAACTAGACTGAGAAGGGAGAGGTTCTAGAAAGCTCAGACCCAGATGTGGCAGAAAGGGCAGAAGCAGAGGAAGGGAGCTCTTGCTACCTTACTCCTGGAAAACGGCCATCACTACCTTGCTGAGTAGAATTTACAGGTGCATAGAAAGAGGCAAGCTGGGGTTGTTCTCCTTTTTCAGATCCCTCTGGGTCCACAGAAGGGACCACTTATTCCTTTCCCATCACCCTGATTAATCATCATAAAAGATGAGCTGGCCCAACAGGTATTGTGAGCATAGTAAGGACCTGTGTGCTGAGGCTCCCGGAAGTCTTTAGACATCCTTGTCTGCACTGTCTCCTGGTAGAGAGACCGCTGTTTCTTAAGAGTGATGAGGAGGCCTCATAGCTGTGGTCTGGCTGGCTTTGCTGCTACAAAGGTGGGGCTGGACTTCTTGAATCAGTGCTTGGTGTCTTTCTTGCCCTTGGGTCTTAGATTATCCCAGGGTGTGTGCCTACAGCCCTCCTTGGTATCTGCTAACTCACCCACTCTGATAAGATAGACTTTCCCTGTCTGTCTTACCCAAGAGCAGCCATTGCTTTGTTGTGTGATTGTCTAAGATTTAGGAGAGAACAGATCAGCTGAAAGAGATGTGTGTTAACAGCTCACAAAGTCCTTCACACCCTCCCTTGATTTCCTGTCTACATTCACTGGGGGCTTTGGTAGCATCAGGGTTCTGTTTGGTTCCCAATAAATATTCCTTCCTCCCTTTAGATTCTCTGACATTTGTCTTTGATTCACAATCTCTGGTCAAGATATTATCAGCCCCACATTGCCTTGGAGAGATCTGTCTGGATTCCTTTTCTTTTTCCATGAATGTCCGTCTTTGTCATCTCACTCTTTCCAGACAAACTTTTCAGATGTTCCAGCTGCATACAGAACATGCTCAAGAAACTCTTCTCATTGGGAAGTTCTGTTAGGGAATAAGGCCACTGTTGGCCATATTCTAAACCTTACCCAGCTCACACACAGAAGACAGTGTCTCACAAGTCACCTGTGCGTATATGAGTGAGAAGAGAAGAAATAGGATACGCTGTGTAGGTCACTCAACCATCCCATCACTACATTCTAAGTTACTCCACCTTGGGGATACAGAAGTCTGAGAGACCTGGTCCCACAGAGCCCCTGGATTATGAGGGGACAGGTAGGAAAGCAAGCAAGGGGTCACTTCAGTATGAATGGTATTTCTCCAGGGGAAGTCTAGGATGGGACTGTGGAGACACAAATGAGGGGTAAATAGTCTATGCTAGGAGGTCACAGTGAGCTCCCAGAGGCAGTAGCATTTAAAATGGCTTCAAAAGGTGACAGAAAGTAGTCAGATACAGAAAAGAGGAGAAAGGGAGACTATTCCTCAGGCAGAGGGAAGGGCATGTTCTGGGGGCGCCACATTCAGCAGGACATGGCACAACTTGGAATCTTGTTCAGGAATGTGCTGAGGTACTCATGGTATATACGGTCCTCCACATCCCATCAGAGCTCAGCAGGTGGCTGTTCAGAGGGTGCTTCCATGCCAGTAACACCTGCCCTGGGCCCCGTGGCATCATCTCCGGTATTAACATCTTCTCCCTCCTCTTTTTGGACAAATATTGCAGGTGTCACATCACGACAAATCCTATCCATGAGGCATGTCACCCGTCCACCTGGTCATGTTCAGAGTAGTTCAGGGGCAGGACAAGAAGTCTGCCTGAAAAGAGGGCTGCCTAATAGTCAAATTTATTACTTCAGGAGCTTTATGTTACACAGATTTTTCTTGACAAGCGATGGTTTTCAGGGACTATGCATTCCAAGCACATCCCTGAATAATCCTTGCAAATGCGCACGACCGGATCTCTGGGTGCCTCTGTGCTGCGTACTCAGGAGAGGAGTAAGTGTAGTAGTCTTGTAAAGCAGTCAGGCCGTTGTTGTTTATAAATATCTTATCGGCTGACTGATCATTGTTCTATAATCTTGTGACTAATCAAAATGAGTTGCTTTTCTTCAGGGCCATCATTTCTAGATTAAAGAAATGACTTCGTGTGTGTGTGTCTATGGGCGTACATATGGCCTGCAGAGGCCAGAAGTGGCATCGGATCCCTTGGAGCTAGAGCTGTAGGTGTTTGTGAGCTACCCAGGGTGGGTGCTAGAACCTACCTTCTGGGTCTCTGGTAAAGCAGGAAGCCCTTGTAATAGCTCAGTCATCTTTTCAGCCTACACACACCTCTGCTAGATTTGATATTTTTTTTGTTTTTGTTTTTGTTTTTGTAAACAGGGTTTTTCTGTGTAACAGTCTGGCTGTCCTGGAATTCAGTTTGTAGACCATGCTGGCCTTAAACTCAAAGAGATCCACTTGCCTCTGCCTCCCGAGTGCTGGGATTTTGATATTGAATTTTAATGCTGTCTAATATGTGAGAAGCTCAGTCTTGTTGGTTTCTGATTGTTTTTGAGACAGGGTCTCACTGTGTAGCTTTGGCTGTCTTTGAATTCAGAGAGCCACCTGCTTCTGCCTCCCAGGTGTTGGTATTAAAGGCGTGCAACACCGTGCCTGGCTGAGGAGCGCAATTCTTTAAAGATGATTTTTAATATCTTGCCTTTGAAATGTAATAAACAACACCAACGTGGAACAGTTTGTCCCATTAAAGCATTATTTCAGTGACCTCAAACATTCTATAAACTTGATTACACCTGTTGTGGTGTTCTTAGCTGGTGAGGCAGCATGGTTTTATTACTGCTTGAGTTGAAGTCTTGAGTTTACAGCTGATTACTAATCATTGTTGTGTCTGAGAAGGACACTTGTGTCAATGAAACCTTAATTTAAAGGACATCAAGGCTGCTGATGCCTGTAATCTCAGAATTTAGGAGGGTAAAGCAAGAGAATTGTCATGGGTTTGAGGCTACTATGGGCTACATAGTAAGATTCAGGTCAGCTTGGATTATAGTGTGAGATCCTGTTTCAAAAACAAAACCGAAAATTTTTTAAGATGTTGGTGCAGGTGAGGTAATTCAACAAGTAAAGACCCTTGTTGTTAAGCCTGGTGTCCTGAGATCAATCTCTGGGACCTACATGGTAGAAAAGACAAACGATTCTCACAAATTGTCCTCTTAACTCCACATCCAAGCCATGGCATGTAATCTTCCATGCACACACAAATAAATAATAGAAAGTAACTTACAAAGTATATCAAGACAAACGTAATCTAAAAGTCTCCCGTTTATCTTCTGGAAGAAATCTTACATGATTTTTTTTCTCATAAAACAGGGGTCAGAAACTAACTTCAGGAGCCCAGGAAGGTAACCCTTCAACTTAATACAAAATTTACATATTAATTATTTAAAAGGAAGTTTCTTCAGCCTTTTGTTAGGTGCACTGTGAGAGCACAGAGAAACCCATCGGGTTGACTCCTTGGGCACCTGAACTGCGGTTCTCCCATCATCCATACAGAAAAAGAAAATGAGCCTTTTAACAAAAATAGTGGTGTTCTGGTTTTGAAGTCTGACGACAATGCACTGTGTTCTTTTAATCAATAAGCATGAAGTCTGTGGTAGTAAGAACCAATGTACACACTTTTTTGTAATGTCCTTTTAGATAGTACTGGTATCACTGGCGATTTCGTGCTTCTGTGGTGTGTGTGTGTGCGTGCGCGCACGTGCATGCATGTATGCTGGTGTATATGAGTATGCATATATATGGAAAGGGATGTGGAATTCAGATGTCAGTCTCAGGAGCTGTCCACCTTTCTTTGGTTTTTTTTTTTTTTTTTTTTTTTTTGGTTTTCGAACTCACATAGATCCGCCTGCCTCTGCCTCCTGAGTGCTGGGATTAAAGGCGTGCGCCACCATCGCCCGGCTCTTTCTTTGTTTCATTGAGACAGGTTTCTCACTGGGACCCAAGGCTCACCCCATTTGTCTAGGCTGTTTGGCCAGTGAATCCCAGGGATTTTTTCATCTCTGCCTCCCCAGTACAGGGATTGCAAGTATGCATCACCATGTCTGTCCTCTTACATGGGTTCTAAGGATTGAATTTAGGTCCTCATTCTTGTAGAGCAAGCACTATCCTGACCGAGCCATCTTCCCAGCCTCAGAACTTGGTTTCAATGTCTACAAACCAATAATGATAACAGTATAGTAGGTATCTGCCTAATGAAGGTGCTAGAACCCTCTTCCTTCACAGCTGTCCCCTGTATGCTTGGGGACACTTTTCTCAAAGATATGCATCCACGTCTTCATAGTCTACATTATTTTAATGTATCTTGGTTAGGTCCTATGAGTTTGCAGCTAAGTTCCATGGTGTTCAGAGAGTCCATACCCTGTGTCTCTGCTTTTCATCTAGTAACATTTACACATCAAACAGCATACTATTAAAGTAAGATAAATTGAGTTCCCTAGAAGGAAGCCGTCTCCTAACAAATGAAGAGGATTCATTTCTGCATTGGCCATGCATGGCATTGGAACTTTTCCTCCAGCATTTGGATTTATTTTTTAATTCATTTATTTTGATTTTATGTGCATTGATGCTTTGCCTTCATGTATGTCTGTGGGAGGATGCCACATCCCCTGGAACTGGAGTTACAGACAGTTGTGAGCTGCCATGTGGGTGCTGGGACTTGAACCCAGGTCTTCTGGAAGAAGAGTCAGTGCTCCCAACCACTGAGTCATCTCTCCAGTCCTGCAGTTGGGTTTAAGGTGAGAATTAAAATGTTTTCTGAAACCAGATGCAGTGACACATGTGACTAGTCTCAGATGCTTGGAATTCTGAGGCAAGAGGATCCGCTGTTGAGCCCAAGACATCGAGGCTAGCCTTGTCAACATACCAAAATCCTAGCTCAATAAAT